TCCCGTCCTCCCTCTCCCTCCTCCCTACACCCTCCTGCCCACCTCCCTCCTCCCTCGACTCCCCCCCTCCCTCCTCCTCCTCCTCCTCCTCCTCCTCCTCCTCCTCCTCCTCCTCCTCCCTCCCTCCCTCCCTCCCCTCCCTCGCCTCCCTCCCTCCCTCCCTCCCTCCCTCCCTTTCCCTACTGCCTCCCCCTCCCTCCCTCCTCCACTCCCTCCTCCCTCCCTCCCTCCCTCCTCCCTCCCCCTCCTCCTCCTCCTCCTCCTCCTCCTCCTCCTCCGCCTCCTCCTCCTCCTTCCTCCACCTCGCACACCGGCGCTTCTACTCTACACTCCGTCTCCTCCTCCCCGCCTCCATCCCTCCTCCCCTCCCTCCTCCTCCTCCCCTCCTCCTCCTCCTCCTCTCCTCCTCCACCTCCTCCTCCTCTCCTCCTCCTCCTCCCCTACCTCCCTCCTCCTCCTCCTCCTCCTCCTCCTCCTCCTCCTCCTCCTCCTCCGCCTCCTCCTCCTCCGCCTCCCTCCTCCTCCTCCTCCTCCTCCTCCGCCTCCTCCTCCTCCTCCTCCTCCTCCTCCTCCTCCTCCTCCCCCTCGAGGTGGAGGGGGCAGAGCTCTTCGAATGACTGAACCGCAGGCCGCCTTGGCGTGCCGTCGAGTGGCAACAGGGCCTCGGGGGCCGCCCCGCGCGGCGCGCGGTGCCCCGCGGAGGGGCCGATAGCCGCCCGCGCCTCACCCGCGGGCCCCCGCGGCGCCTCGGCGAGAGGCTGGCGCAGGCCGCGGCGCCGGAGGGCGCGCCGCGGGAGGGCGGCGCGGCCGCGCCGCGGCGCGAGCTGCCTCGGCACGGCCGCCCCCCCTCGAGAGCCCACGCTCCGGAAGAGTTGGAGCGGGCCGGCCTCGGGCCGTTTTCGGCCTCATGGGGGCCTCGCCGGGCCTCGGGGGCGCCAGGGAGCGGCCCAGCAAGCCGGCCATGCGTGGGGAAGTGGTCAGGACCTCGGGGGCCCACGCACCGAGAAGGCTGGAGCAGCTGGGTGTCTGGATCGGCCCTCGGCGGGCGCAGAGCGGTGTGCAAGAGTTGTTCTCCGCCGTCGGGGGCGGCCCGCCCGTCGGCCAGCGCGACCTTCGCCTTCCTGCACTCGTCACGAGTCCTGCACGCAGGCCAACGCCCCCATCATTCTTATCCACGATTGCAGGGCCTACGGCTTTGTGAAGGCATGCTCGCGCCACCGAATGTGCTGGGAACCCAGACGTCCTCCGCTCTGGACAGAAATGAGGCGTTGGCTGGGGGGGAAAGTGACCCTGCGTGCAGAGGCGCTCCAGAGAAATCAGCCTCTGGCTGAGCATGGCTCTCCACACCTCCTGCTGCCAGGTTTCCACCGTCGGCGGTTGCAGCGTCCTGCTGGCGAGCGTGGGCAAGGCAGCGGCTTGCAGCCCCTCTGGCGCCGGGTGGCGACTTCGAGGACACCCAGAGTGGCCTGGCCGCAGCTTCCGAGGTGCCCGTCCTCGGCTGGCTGGCTGCCCCCCAGGCGGTCGGAAAGTTTGCAGCCGCCCAAGGGGGGCAGGTGTCCCCGACGGCGGAACAGCTTATGTTATACGTTCGCCCCCGAAGGCACGAGCGGTGAGCCCCAGCGCCGGGGCCGAGCGCTCTCGAGGCGGCGGCCGAGCGCGCGGCCGAGGACAGCGTCGACTACACGCAAGAATGACCCTTCGCCGGAGTGACCTCAGGTGCGGGCCCATTGGGGCCTCCCGACCACTGAATGTGATGCGGTGTCAGCGGTTTGCGCGCTCAGGTTTGCCCCCCCCCCGCGCCCCCATACATGCCGCGCACCACAGGTCCACTCATGCGTAGGGTCACTCTTAACTACGTGTACGGCAGGTTTGCGTCGTGTCGACCAGCGGAGACCCCAGCGCGGGCGTTCAAGGTTGAACGCCGCCGGCGACCCAGAATCGATCGATGTTGAACGATCGGACGTTGCGGCAGCGGCCGATCGTTCAAGGTTGAACGATCCCTGCGGTGTCAAAAACCAACGCTGGGGTCGGCACGACACGAACCTGCCGTAGCCGACAGGCAATGAGCTGCTCGCGGTAGGCAACAGTCGCGTCGACGAGCACTGCCAGAAACGACAATCAATAGAATTAACCGGGCGAAAACCCAACCACATGCAGTTGTGAGCACCGCAATTGTGAGTATCGTCTTGAGTGGAATTCCCTATGGGGCAGCGCCCGCATGCGGGCTGTGCCGCTGGGGCCTTCGGTGGAGCTCCCTGTGGAGCCACGAAGCGTGTGGGTGGTGTGCCGAATCGGGCGTGTCGCCCTCATGCGGGCTGCGCCACTCGGACCGTAGGTTGAGCTCCCTGTGGAGCCACGGACCGTGTGAGAGCGGTGCCGAAACGGGAGCGTCGCCCTCATGCGGGCGGCGCCACTGGGGCCTTCGGTGGAGCTCCCCATGGGGCCACGAAACATGGGTTGTGCCGAATCGGGGGTGTCGCCCACATGCGGGCGTCGCCAT